TGTTTGCTGATTCGAAAGGTGCGCTTCTGTGCAAACGCTATGGCTCATAACCTTTTCAACCTCAGACAGAAAAATTGAAGAAGAACGAATCCTATACTGGAATGAATTGAAAAAAGATCAATGAATGACGAATTTCAGTTATTGCTGGAGCATTTGAGCAAGATTAAGGATGGAATATCATGGCTTCAGATTATGGCAATATATAATGCAATATATTTTTATACATTCCATTTGCAGTTTATTCTGGATTTCCATTTTAATAACCGTACGATTACTAACAAGCGTTTTACGCGCTTAACACTTGATTAGTGATGCTTCCCGATCATTCTCTCTCATAAGCATTTCCCAGTGTCTTATTGTTTTTATATATGCATATGCCATTTCAATTGACCTCAATTTTGCGAAGCGGAACAATTTACTAAAAGTAAAGCATTTAATAATAAGCATTTTGGTAAAGACTATACGTTGGATTATTTTCCTTGCAATGTTTAAATCTCGCCAAAATTTGGGTGCAAGGTGATGAGCAGCAATTGCGGCAAAGGCGCGAATTTGTACATTATTTTTGTAGAAGATGCCGCTCTAGAAGGGAGACTTTAGGAGGGGGCGAGTCCAAATCTGAGATTGGCAGTGGATAAAGCTTAAAAAGTTGGCATATAGTGGTCATGATCAGATTTTGTATCAAGTATGAAAATTTCGAGAAAAATTGAGATTAAAATTTTACTATGCAAATTTTACTAAGAAAATTTTAATCTCAATTTTTCTCGACATTTTTCATGCTTGATACAAAATCTGAACATGACCACTATATGCCAACTTTTTAAGCTTTATCCACTGCCAATCTCAGATTTGGACTAGCCCCCTCCTAAAGTCTCCCCCAAAAATAACGTTCAAATTTCTGCCAAAGATTACTGTAGCGCCAAAGCGTTGTGAGAGTCAATCAGGTAAAATGCATAACTTCTACGACCTCTTCGCCCATAATATTTCGTTAACACGGAAACTGAGTCGAAAATTTACGTTATGCCTCTCAAAAACTTTTAAAAAGTAAAAAAATTTTGAATTGGCCCATAAAATTTTATTATGGCACTGTTTTTAATTGTTTTTTAATTGGAACAGAACAATGCGAACAAAACATCATTATTGGAATTTCTTTGCCGTTGAAGTTCTTTTTCGGCTGGCCAGATAGACATTGACTCATCCTCACCTGGATACTCCCAATACCCTACTTTAGCCAACCCCTGCATCTACAGTGCAGAGGGGGCATACAGGGCTGAGTGGACTGTGTGCACACGGCCATAATGGGTATCAAACCCAGGGCCCGTATCCTGACAAAATCTCTACCTCTCTCCTTTTGCATTGTCTTTTAGTTCCCATCTGCAGAGATTCGGTCAGGAAATGCGGGCGGCAAATTCTCTAGCCACTAGACTGCACTGTTCACTATAATTTTATTATAAGTATAAACTAAGTTTGCAGAGATGGATTTATGGCGAAAATTTTAGAGCATCGCATAATGTCGAGCATTCATACGGCCCAGCGAGGTATCGCTCCATTTGGCCGGTCATTGATTTTAGTCTCATTCGTATTCATCATTTTTTCCACTCTAATTACTTGGAACAGCAATTGGAACGATCCACATGGAGCTGGTCTTGTTATGGCTGCCAATCGAAGAAATAACGGTTCACGTCCGAAACCTGGGCCAGGCAGACCAAATATAGTCAATCCTGACTCTGATTCAGACGAAATTCCAAATGACAGGGAGAATGACGACGACGATGAAGATCCTGACAAAAGCTCGGATGATAAAGATAAGGAAGATGATAGAGATAACGAAGATGATGACAGAGAAAATGATTCTGATGGTAGTCCAAATGATCCAGAAAATGACGATGACAATTCCCCTGATGAAAGCCTTGAGATGCCAGGTAATTATGACAAAAAGTGAGCTACACAGTAGAGTAACTGTAAATTCTTTGCTTTTTTGTAGTACTCTTATGCCTGGGCCACGCACGCGGGGGAAAAGGGGAGGGGATTTTGTATTTTTCTATCGCTTTACTGCACAAATACGCTCACTACCCCGGCCAATCTCCCGGCGGATTCGCTTTGTGTAATTGTGAAAAATCAAATCGATTTGATTTTGTTCGGTGTTCTAGAACAAAGGAGTTTGTTTTGGAATAACAAAAATGAAATTGTCTTCTCTGTACAGAGCATTTTCGCACAGACATCATTATTGGTTGTGTATGTCATTGTGTATGTCGACAAAGACATGTTTTATGTCTGCTTCGCAACGCTTTTTCTTCGGGGGATTGGATGAGAGAGTACAGCGCTGTGGCTAATCTATAAGAAAAATACAAAATCCCCCGGGGGATTCCGCACGTGCGTGGCCCTAGTGTTAAAGAATATCATCCGGTTAGCTTTCTTTCGTCGATTTTGTAGATGAAATTCACAAAATCCAAATACTCTAACTCATTTTTGCTTTCCGCCACCCCTTTTTTATGTGGGCAGACACTGTTTTCCGAAATTCTTGAAGAACTTATTCTTCTCCAAGAAGAATAAGTTTCGTGACATTATTGATTTTCATAATAAAAAGCAATAAATTCCCAGGAATCCGACTCCTGATATTGATCACAAAATTCCAAATTTTAACTCATGCAAAATATTTCTAGAACATCTATTCATAAATTGGCTTTTTTTCACATAGCTAATGGCTCATTGTTTAGATAACCTGCAACCGGATCCAAATAAGCCCATTCCTGGAGATTGGGGCGTCAACTGTCGTGATGAGTATGCTGTTCAGCACAAACTTTGCTTCAATGAACTCTACAGAAAACTCATGCAGGAAAGATGCAAAGCCACTTGTCCCAAAGATGACTGCTTCGACGATAGATATGACTTGTATGTAATGAACGGTTTGGTTAGAGGTCAATAATGCCATTCTTTTCAGGTGCGTTGCTTGGAACGGAAACAATTTTTGTATCCGGGATATTTATAATAATATGAAAACGTTATGTCGAAAAACGTGTGGCTTGTGCACGCCAACCACTGGGTTTTAAATTGCCGTAGACTAATTCTACTTGACCTTGGGGAACCAAGGTAAACTTTGGTTCAAAAATAAATTTGTTATTTATGTTAAAAGTGTTAGCTATGATGTTTTCGCATAGAATCTATATTGTGAGTTGTATAGAATTGCTGCCTGAATCTTTTAACACTTCCATGGCCGAGAGTGCCAAAGGGCTTATTTTGTAGAGAATTTTGTGCTGATTAATAATAAAAAAAGAAAGTCTAAAAAAAGTACTATTTGACCCCTAACGGGGCATTTTTCGAAAACCACTTTTTTCGTCAGAATTTTCGAGGTGCCTCTATTCCAAGGCTTGTATAACAGGAGCCTAGCTATGTTTTATATCAGTAGAAAGCCCATCACTTGGGCTACAAGAATACACCAAAACATGTTTTGGGTCCCGCCACGAAAATTTAAATTTTGAGGCAAATTCAAAATTCTGAAAAAATTTTCAAATTTTTTTTCATGTAAATCTCCCATAGTCGGTTTTCGGCATTCCAAGCCGTTTCGACCGAGATTTTTGGCCTCATAGGGTTTTCGACCACGCTCAACACGATTCTGATGTCAGTTTTGGCATTCAGCATACTGTAGTACCAGTTTCTGGCGTTCTGCCCACTTCGGCTTCCTTGGGGATTTTCGCCCGAAATTTCACACCCTAGGGGGTTTTCGAGTGTGCTGAATTCAAATCTGAGATCAGTTTTAACGAAAAGCGCCAAAATTTGGCGTTATTCTGGCGTTCTGCCCAAAAACGCCAAAGATGGAAATCGCTAATAATCGAGGATTCGTCTGTGGCGTTTTTGGGCAGAACGCCAAAATAACGCCAAATTTTGGCGCTTTTCGTGAAAACTGATCCCAGATTTGAATTCAGCACACTCGAAAACCCCCTAGGGTGTAAAATTTCGGGCGAAAATCCCCAAAGAAGCCAAAGTGGGCAGAACGCCAGAAACTGGTACTACAGTATGCTGAATGCCAAAACTGAAATCAGAATCGTGATCAGCGTGGTCGAAAACCCTATAGGGCCAAAAATCTCGGTCGGAAACGGTTTGGAACGCCGAAAACCGGCTATGGGAGATTTACATGAAAAAAATTTGAAAATTTTTTCAGAATTTTGAATTTGCCTCCAGATTTAAATTTTCGTGACGGGACCCAAAACATGTTTTGGTGTATTCTTGTAGCCCAAGTGATGGGCTTTCTACTGATATAAAACATGGCTAGGCTCCTGTTGGAAGAACAAAAGATACAGGCCCTCAAACACAGGCACCTCGAAAATTCCGACGAAAAAAGTGGTTTTCGGAAAAAGCCCCGTTAGGTGTCAAATAGTACTTTTTTTCAAACTTTCTTTTTTTATTATTAATCAGCACAAAATTCTCTACAAAATAAGCCCTTTGGCACTCTCGGCCATGGAAGTGTTAAAAGGTCAATATTTTGCGTGATTGGGGAACAAGTTTTTTTGTCAAATAATACATCTTTTTTTGACCATAGTCTGTGGGACGAAACAGAATTGTTTTAGGTCACGAAAAAGTTAATCTTATATTAAGTAGAGTTAATTAATGAATAAACTTTGGGACAATGAAAATTTTCTATGACTATGAAATCTCACTCGCTTAGATGAAACATTTGTTCTCGAATTCCTTTGAATCGAAAAGTCGACTAATTTGAATAATTAGATTATCAGAAAACCGCATAAAATAAAGCTAAAAACCTAAAAAAACGCCCAAGTTTTTAGCGCTGCAGGTCTTTCGTTGAGACTGGGTCAGTTGTGAAATTCGGATGCGTTGTTCACAAATTCAAAATTTTCGGAAAACCACTATTCTAAATAGTTATATACAAGTCTGAATTGGTCCAAGATTACGGATTGAAAGGAGAAATAAAAGAAAATTTGCAAAACTTGCTGTAAAAACTGAAAACGTAAACTATATATTAAAAGGGAAAGGATATTCCTTCATATGGACGTATGGCGCAATGGATAACGCGCTGGTCTACGGAACCAGAGATTCCAGGTTCGACTCCTGGTACGTTCGACATATTTTTTCTCTCTTTCTCGGCAAAAAAATTGCGATAAAACTCATTTATATGAAATAATCCAGCTTATAAATCCTTATATACATTTTTCCTCAAAGCATCTCACGAATTTAACATCAGTTTTTGCAACAATCAAATTGCGAAAGTTAATGAACCAGAGAAATGTTTTCATTAAACGATTTTGTACAATAGCGATTGACATACAAAAACTTAAGATTTGAAGTAATTATAAAACTGGAGATCTTCAAATTATTGAATCAATAAATCTTCACTCAGAAGTGAGGTCAACGTGTAAAAGTGAAAAGGACTTCAGGTCATTTCTTCGTCGTTGTTCTCGCGGGTAATCATCGGTTTCGTGATGTTCAGCCTTTTGACTAAGCCCTAAATTATTATCTATATAATACTCTCTAATTTACAACTCCGGTAACTCATCGAAGATGAATCGTAGTCATCTTATTCCTAGAATTTTGGAAAATTTTGTAAGTACTCCTTTTACAGGTCCACAATATTGTGAATCGCGGGGTCGCAAATTATGTATTAGTTATAGAATTACATAAATTAAGTACTCTTTACGTAAATGCTAACACTTTTGCACATGACTACACAACTATTATTCAAAATCATGGGCAAGTAATCATGATTGACTATATATTTTCACATGTGAATCATCATTTTTTCCATATATTTTTTAGAAATAATATCGCCCATTGATAATTTCCAGATGAAAATATAATGTCAAACAAGATACCCAATCCATACTTTTGAATAGGGTTCGATCCCCCCCCGCAGGGGGCGGGGAAGGGGGAAAACGGGGAACGGCATCGGCGGGGAAGGGGGATCCCCGTTCCCCGGGGGGTGCGGGGAAGGGAAATACGGGGAAATGGCCTTTTTTAAATTTTTTGCACATTTTTTGGCCATTTTTTCAAATTTTTGCCCTTATTTTACCATTTTTTCTGGTTTTAGTTCATTCTTTTGCACTTTTTGGTTATTTTTTCATGTTTTTGATCATTTTTTAGAATTTTTCATGTTTTTGTTCATTTTTTTTCGCAATTTTGATCAATTTTTACTGTTTTTGTTCATTTTTTCCAATTTTCGGCCACTTTTTCGTGGTTTTGTTCATTTTTTTCTAATTTAGACCATTTTCCACATTTGTCATCATTTTTTCGAAAAATTATGTAGAAAAATCGCGGCAAAAAAAGTGCCGCAGGCAAAATTTTTTGCAAAAAAATTGGCTTTCTCTTTAAAAATTGACTGTAATAAATCATTGAAATAAATTATAACACTGAAAATTTTGACTATATATTGAAAATTCCACAAATTTTCGGCCTGAAATTTTGGAAAAACCATGAGACGTAATACAAAGTTAGAGAAAAAATAGCGCCGCAGGCGAAAATTTTGCAAAATTAGACATGCTCAGAGGAAAATGACTCATTTTTCTAAATAATATGCAGTCGCGATTTTATTGTGTTTTTATTGTGTTAAATTTTATTATTCTACCTGAACTGTTCAGTTTGAAGACAGTTTAGACAACGAAACAATATGTACTCTTTTGAATAGCTTTTCGAAGAAATATTCGAGCTGGGCACAGAAAGTACTATAAAGAATAGTGGGGTCTGGGGGCGACAGCCCCCAGACGGTGAAGAAAATTTGAGAATTGGGGTCAACTTTCTTTGAAAAATTTGAATATTCGTCGAAAACTTCCCAAAATTTTCGCCGGCCGCGCCCGGGAAGCGGGGAAAACGGGGATCCCCGCGGGGGGGATCGAACCCTACTTTTGAATAGGTGAGGCGTAAGCAGAAAGGTCCCGTAACAAGTTCATTGCCTAACTACTTTTGTCTACCTATGTTCCTCGTTCTATTATTTTTCTCCAAAAACAAGTTCTTGAAACTTTATTTCAGCAACATACCTGCCATATTGGCACAGTCATTCTTGATACCGCTTGAGTCATATCCAATGCACTTCGTTCAGCGGTAGTAATCCTTTCCAATTCGTCTCGAGGAAGCTTCTCTGGAAAATGTCACAATAAAGATAATGTACAAGCCAAGTTTCAGACAGTCACATTCTTACCATTTGACAACAACGCGCCATGCTTTTTGCATTGTCGTACATTTTAATTCCATTTGAAATGTAAAATAAAATAAAATTTTGCGCTTCTATGAACCGCTTTTCACTCAAATTTTGATTGACCGCTTCTTACCTTTTCTAAATTTTGATTCATCAGTGAACATTATTGAGTACATAAAGTTAAGACATAAATTCACTTGGTAGGAATTGGGTACCTTGTGTTTTTCTATACTTCTGATGATATATTAAAGGACCAAAGTCCGACCAAGTGAATTAATGACTCAACCTTATATATTCAATAATGTGCACTAATAAATCAAAATTTAAAAAGAGTAAGAAGCAGTCCTTCAAATAATAAATATAACAAATAATTAATAAGTAAGCGGTCATTCAAAATTTGCTGTGGAAAGTTCGGTTCATAAACGTACAAAATTAAATTTATTTTAATCTCAAATGTGACTTCTAGTCTTTTGAATAGCGTTATTACATATGAGCATCCAAACTTAAAAAATCATATGGACTTACTGAGCACAGGCAAATTGGTTCTTTTATCGACAGTGAGCCTCACGTGACCATCCCTAGAAAGAGTACATATATCTTAACATACACTAATAAACCAAATTGTTTAACCTCAGCAAGAAAGCAACATGAAACATATTCTGAATACTCTCCCCAAAGTCGCCAGGATTCAGCACAAATTCGTAGTAGCCGACTGAGCTTTGATCTGGGGAACGTTTGAAGGCAGCTCGCAAGAGTTTCTTGACATGGTCAACCTCTTCAGAAAATGTCTGGTTATCTTTTTTCTCATCTTGAGCTTGCGCAGCCTAAATTGCAGGTTATTTTTAATATGACTTCTTCTCATATTATTTTTAGACCATCTTAAATTCGTAGCCATTTTGTAAAAGATCTCGCAAAGGACACTCGAAATATATGTTGAGCAAATTCTCAGTATTATATAAAGTAGCAACCGTAACAATATTTCTGGATCATTTTCAGAATATCACCACAAATTACTCACTGATTTTCCTTGAATTTGAGTTTTAGGCAGATTTCTGTCCGCTCTTCTCGTCGTTTGAGTTCTCTCTTTCTTCACTCTAACGATTTGTCTCTCGGTGAATTTAACGCAGGGCCGTCTAAATTAAAATTTATGACAGTAAATATTTGAATAAACTAAACAGTTATACGTGAAAGTGAACTTGGGTGGATTGTGCAGCAAGTGTCCATATTTTGTGCCAATAACATGGAAAGGCAATGCATTGGGATCGTTGGTTTGTGCGTCTATTTGCTTCTAAATTACTAATTCAAACTTAGAAATTTTGAGTTTATTTTACAGCTCAGCTCAACTTTAATCTTAACATATGCGTCATGGCTCAAGATGATGCATAAAGGGACACTGTCAGTGCGTTTTTCCCTAATTTCATTGTTTTCTCTAGTATTTTCTAATTGTTCACCTCACTAGCTTTTTTGTCTGCTAAAGCGCCAATTTGCACAATTTTCGTACCTTCACAAAATAATATTTCCCGTTGATGGGACAAATAAATAAAGATAAAAAATTAGCCATGAAAACCACAATGTTTTCTGAGCTTTATTTTTGGCATAAATCGAATTATAAAATGAGCACTTTTATATGTGACTTCATTCCTATTCTATCAAATCAATGGCAAATATAATCCCGAGAGCCCACGAAGAAACTAAAGGTGACATTGTCGTCTTAGCAAGCGCAAATATATATAAAAGATAACAGTAAGGTAGTCAAATCACACTATTAAATTAGACAAAATTAGAAAGCGACAAAGAAAATGAGCAAATTTTACTGAGGCCTAAGCAGGCGGTTAATATTGGGCTTATCGAATTAGTATAAGCAAATCAAATAAGTAATCTCTAATTAGAAATTGCAGTCTGTTTCTCAAACTATGCCAAATTTAAGCTTGATTGTTGGGTCAGTCTAAGTTTCATTTTGAATCTTGGTTCATAACTTAAAGTTGGGTTAAATTATTGCCTAAACCCAGAATTTTTCAGTATCAATGCTAGCAACATACCAGACGTTCAGCAAATCGGGCGGAGTTCAGCCGCATTCCGCTGTCATCGCATAGACTCGCCATATTGTAGACCACGAGCCTTGATAGCTTCAGTAATGTGGAGCCATCTCTTTTCAGCAACTTTCCATTCTTGGTCTAAATAGCAAAAATTCAATAGTACAATTTAAACGCCTATAAATCACTCACCTCCACATCAATATTTGTCTGCTCAATAATATCGACAAAAGCGGCTACCTTTTCGTCATTGACGTCTCCTATTTGTACTCGTTGTAGTTCATCTATAATTCTAATTGTTCAAAAATATTGCTAAAAATTTGTGATCATAATTTATTAAATATTATTTTTCGCAAAATTCTAGAAACTTAAAAAAGTAAGTGCTTAAGCACACACTTTTTTTCTGATAAATGAATTCTTTCCATTATGTGCGAAAATATTTGGAAACTATTTAGAACTTCGAATTTACTGTTAATAATTTTTGGTAATCGGTGGAATATGGCACACAAGTTTTATTTTTTGAAGAAATAAATTTATTGACGCGTAAAGGGTAAAAATGAGCCCGGTAAAATAATTACATAAAAAGTCATTTCTCCATTAAAATGTATGTAAAATATAAATAAAGCCAAATTTGTCTAAAAGAAAATATGGTAATCGTAGCATGATTAAATATGTTAGCTAAATAATCATCATACACACTTCGCTTTCCTTGCCGCTTTTTATGTTTACTTTGAATGATTCACTCTCTACTATGCATATTTTCGTTTCATTTAACATAGATAATGCAACATGCAGAATGTATCGAATCATTCAAAGCACAGCACATAGACTAATAAAGCAAAGAGCAGATAACGTTTAAATTTAACTAGCAAATTTAAATCCTGCCCGATTGTGTTTAAAGA